TGCAAATCATTCAGACTAGGGACTCAACCCTTTACATCGCAGTACAGTAAGCATTCGGTCTATACAAAACAGTAAGACAGTACAGAAGGGAGATTGTAAAACACCCCTAAGCCTTAACATCATAGGCTCGGAACCTCACAGTGAGGCACATAGGCTGGCTTGACAAAACTGGAGTAACCCTGACGCTCCTAGGCGCGGTCTGGTGCCTGAACACCTACATATATATATGAGCAGTGAGCTAAAGCCCAGTGAATAACATAATGCGTAAAGGGGTTACGAATGAATGTCCTTACAGTAATGAAAACAGTTCATTAAATCAGTATTTCAGTCGTTCAGTCAGTATAGTCATATGTGGTACATCCATTAGCATAACAGTGCAGTATATAGTAGGTCTTAAAGAACCGAGCATAATGATGGCCATCAGTCAGTAAACAGTGGTGGTTCCGACAAGGGAACTGATAGAGAATTCTGTTACAGTAACAGTAAACAATAGGTGCTAAGGATGTCACAAATACAGTTCAGAATATAGGACATACATCATTCAGTTAACAGTAAATTAGTTCAGAAAACAGTACGGTTCAGTTGTTCAGAAGATAATCATTTGTGAACATATCTTTACACAATCGTTACTCACAGAGTTCTGGGCTACAGTATGCTAGAGGGTGTCTCCCTAGTCGCCAACCCTACACAGTTAACAGATTGAACACACTAAGCTACACAGCTGGGAAAGATAATAATTTAATCCCTAATTTGCCTCGGTGTGTTCTACATCTATATCCTCAACAAGACGCCTTAAACTAGGCCTAAGAATGCCTAGAATGGGATGAGGATGCAAAGATGCACGTTTAAAAGCAGTTTCAGAAGTTTCAGAAAAACAGAGTCCCGCTCGAGCGCGTTTTACCCGCTCGACGGACATGCAACAAGGTACACGCTCGAGCGTCAACTTTCCCGCTTGAGCGTACTGTAAAAGTACTGGATGGGTGAAATCTCCGCTCGACGGACGTTCGACGCCCGCTCGATCGTGAGACACATGCCTCCGCTCGAGCGCCCAATCCTCCACTCGAGCAGACTGTAAAACAGTGCAGAAAAAATACTGGATGCTCGGATTCCACGCTCGAGCGCCACTTTCCACGCTCGAGCGGGAGTGCAAAATCTGGAAAAACCCAGATTGCACCACCAAGCTCAACTCACAATCAAATGCATCAAAAC